CACTGACCCATGCACAAGTCTTTATCAAAATTCAGGTCCCGCAGGCCATCCAAGACATCTCGGTGACGACGACTCCTCTTCAGGAACGCAAAAAATTATCCTCACCAATTGCACTGATATTTGACTGTCATGGCTCCAGCTGCCAAGCTCACTTTGCGAAGCCTCAAAATATATGGGAAAGATAGCCGACAGTTGCGAAACACCAATGAATTCCACGAAAAAGAGGGCCCATAATAAACGCCTGCCGCAGCCCTCTCGCTCCTGAAAACTCATTTGCATTGCATGTGTGTTGAATATGCAGCACATGTACTAAACATACGGAACGCAGACAAATGAGACACCTGCACCATGAATGTCTGACGTCTGCGATGCACCCGCATGCACATGTGGCTCACCCCCAAAGCGCCCGTCTGTCTGGTCTCCGAGTGCAAGTTGGCGGTGTACAGGACAGCCGGCGACATCTTTGTTTTCGGGTCCGACAACGGGCCCTCGAGAGGGGCCGGGGCCTTTTCGTTCACTCGCTCTCTCATTTTCTAAATCCACGAGTGGTGCTAGATCCCCAACAGATCGCGCGTAATGCGCTTTGGCGACGGCAGAGAAGCGAGGAGACGCCCGTATCAACTTTTCCCCCATAAAAAAGAGACAGGGAACCGATCGCTCTGTCGCCCTCCTCCCTCTCCTCCCTCCTTCTCTCATATCACAAGAGGACACTGCCAGTGAGGACACCCCTCCTTCATATTTTTCCGTCGTCTCAGACCAGGTGGGGCATCATGAAGACCACCGTCGCCAACGGGCGTGTCACTGTCGAGCAAGACACGTTCCTCATCCCTGACCTGACCGTCAAGGACCTCCTTTCTGCCATCCCGTACGTCTTCACCATCGTCTGGCCTCCAGAACGTCGGGACTCACGCGTCCTCATCCCTGCAGGAAACATTGCTTCGAGCGGTCGGCCTTCAGATCCTCGCTCTACGTGTACGTCTATTCCACGTTCCTGACGCGTCAATTCTTGCTGACACGTTGACAACAGTGTCTGGGACTTTTTCCTCGTCGCTTGCATCTGGAAGGCCGCGGACTACCTTGATTCGTTCATTACACCCGAGCAGATCAGTCTCCCTAGTCCCTACCTCTACACCTTTGCACGTTTCGTGCTCTGGTCGCTCTATGCGTTCGCCAACGGTCTCGTCATGACCGGTCTCTGGGTCGTTGCCCACGAGTGTGGCCACCAGGCTTTCTCAGAGTCCAAGTTTGTCAACAACGCCGTTGGTTGGGTCCTTCATTCTGCGTGCGTCCTCTTGCCATGTACCATTAGCTCAACTTTATCTAACACGTGTCATTCTAGTCTCGGTGTGCCTTATCACTCGTGGCGTGTCAGCCATGCCAAGCACCACGCTTCCACCGGGCACATGACCCAAGACCAAGTTCACGTCCCCAAGACTCGCTCGCAGCGTGGCCTGCCCGAGTTCAACCCCGAAGGCGAGAATTTGGAAGGCTCTTCTGTCACTCAGGAGGTCATGAAGGAGCTCTGGGAGGCTTGTGGCGACAGCCCTATCGGTGCCACTCTCGATGCTGCCGGCTACCTCCTCTTTGGCTGGCCAATGTACCTGTTTACTAACGCATCTGGTCAGAAGCGCTATCCTGGCGGAACGAACCGTGAGCGCCATTCATTCGCACGCCATCCGTGATATTGATTGATGGTTGCCAGATTTTAACCCCAAGTCAATTATCTTCTCTCCCCACCACTTTGGGCAGATCCTCCTTTCCGATGTCGGCGTCATTGTGTGGATACTTGCCGTCGGTGCCTCAACCTACCACTTCGGCTTCGCCAGCACCTTCCGCCTCTACCTCGCGCCTTACCTCTGGGTTAACCACTGGCTTGTCCTGATCACGTTCCTCCAACACACAGATCCGCTCCTTCCCCACTACCGCGCCTCCGAATTCACCTTCCCGCGTGGTGCGCTCTCGACGCTGGACCGCAACCTACTCGGCGACCTCGGTAGCTTTATGGGATGGATCGGCGCTACCACGACGCACGGTATATCCGAAACACACGTGCTGCACCATGTCAACAGCAAGATCCCGCACTATCACGCGTGGGAGGCCTCTGCTGCTCTTCGCAAGCGTCTCGAACAAGCCGGCATCAGCAGTCTCCAGGGCAGCCCTGGTGGCTGGGCGGAAATGTATCGTGTCTTTCGCACGTGCAAGTTCGTCGAGGATGATGGTGACATTGTCTTCTACAAGAACGCGTACGGCATTGCGCAGACGCGCCCTGTGTTCCCTGATCACAGTGCGAGCGACTCTGGAGTCGAAGTGGATACCGGCAAGGAGCTCTAATCATTTGACGCTCTCTCGTTGCTTCGCCATCGTGTTGCATTGTTCATCACCTCTGTCTTGCATCATCCTGGGTTACTTCGGTCGTTCGGTTATTATGGGACAAGCTCGGAAGGCCTGTTAAGACTGCGCTTCATGAGACTTGGAGAAAAACGTTTAGTAATTACGACTAAAGGGTGCGCCAGGCAGCGCTGTACAATGGAAAGGGTTCAGGCGAGTGCAAGCTTGCGACTTCCGCGATCGGTCTCTTAGGGCAGCTTAGGACAAAACCTTCGGGCAATAGATACTTTGTGGCGTGAAGTGGCTGGCGTAATTTGAAACCATCGCTTTATCTTGCCTCGCTGTACAAGCACCCCGGCTGCTCCCTCGAGTACATATCCACCCAAACCCAGATTTCGGCCCTCGAGGGGCTATCGCGGACATGCCAAAGTGAATTAATATTCTTGTAAGCTACCAGAGAACTTATCAGTCATTCGCTCAGCTCTTCAAACTTGCAGAGCGGCGGGCCGGCAAAAGCTCTTTCACAGCGGATGGACCAAGGCGGTAAAGTTTCCTTCGCCGTCGCAAGATGCTGGAGAACCCCAGCACCCTTGGTGTCGTGCAGGAATTCATTCTCGTCTCCGCCCCGCTCTCAGTATCATGTGGGGTTCGGAATGAATAGGTAAGGCGCACACAGCTGCTGCAAGCAATAGCTCACCTTGATGTACATTCTCAGGGTGATGTTCGTGAGCGACGCGATATCCGATAGATCGATGGTGAACACGCTTGAGTGCCGAGTGCATACCTTCGCCCACGCCATTCTTCTTGAAGGCAGCCTTGAGCTGTCCAATATCTCGGGCACTCTTATTTTGCAAGATAATCCATGAGTCCTTCCGGAGCGGATTCACCGCGGGAGTGTTGCGTGGTACTAGGCGCTGTTTAGTGCGTAACTAAATGATCTAGAATGATTATTACACGGGGTGCGATGCAACTTGCCAGCCAAGCCACTGACCTGTCGGATGTGTAGAGTAGGGGCACACACATACACCAAAAAAAGGGGCAAGGAGGTCGTAGATAGACAACGAGTTGCATTTACAGTCGTACAGACAATCGTTACATACAACTGGTGATACCTACATAGCGGGCACCTCCGGTACCGGGCGCTGCACCACCTCACTAGGGGAAGCAGCCGGGGTCCTGCCGTACGCGTAAAGGTTCTGTGTCGCGAATGTTTCAGCTTCCCGTGCCAAGGACATCGATGTCGACGACTGCCACCCAAGTGCCGCTGGGTACGCTCTAGGTACGCTCACTGTTTCGCGAGCTTTTGCATGTCTCTCGTATCCTTAACCGCATGTTCTGGTTCCTTTACTATTTGTTAACCAACCTTGCCCATTATATACCCAACGCCGCATGCCCCTGATCGACCACAAATTTCCTGTCGTTGTTCAGCCGGTGTAACATGTAGGCATCTACGGGTGCAAGCCGAATGTATATTCTCGACAAGTGATAGTGTGCCCGTCACGATGACAGCACCTAAGGCCACCGCGTAAGACGCTGCGCACTGAGATTTATGCATTTATGAGCTGACAACTTCGACAGCGTTCGCGGTATGAGTCGGACGCCGCGTATAGACACTAAGATTATTTCTACAAAAATTTAATGACTCTACATGCACACCTGTCTTAAAGCCCACTGTGTGTGACTCCACCGATATCTTTATCTTTAAATGTTGCCGCATCGCCGGGTTGAGCCGGGACTGAAACATGGACCCATGTTCGTTGCCTCAAAACGTTGGGAAGACCGGCCGAGAGGCTTGCGAGAAGCCTCAGCCCTGCGAGCCCAATCCAGCTCGCAGAACGTGGGCGCTAATTGCATGAAGGACCCCGGGACTGAGACAGTGGATGTTGTCGTAGCACATGATTCCCGTCGCTGATTCACGAACCCCGACCCGACATATATAGCTGTCTTTCTCGTGAGGCCATCCGCCCCTTCATTTTCGAAATGCGTATCGAGGAAGGATTCCAGCAGGTGCGTCCTTAGGGCGTTCCACAGCTTGAAGAGACCTAACGCAGACGCGCAGACCCCGTACACTGAACCCAATGCGTACACGACCGACAGCGTGCTGCCCAGCCTGCTGAAGCGGCTTCTTCCCGCGGATGCGCTGCGCGAGGTTGAGAGCGACCTCGTGCGCTTCGGTGGGGAAGGCCTCGCTGGTATGTATCCCTCCTGCGCTCCTTGTCGTGCACCTCCTGACGCCGCACAGAGCTCCGTGAAATGAATGCAAAGGCCGCCGAGCCGCAGCTCATACAGTACGACAACTGGGGCCGGCGCGTCGACGAGCTGCGGACGTCCGAGGGCTGGCGTGAGGTCAAGGCATATCTGCAACGTGAGGGTATCCCCGGCATTTTCTACGAGAGGCGCTACGATGCGCACAGCCGTGTGTACGGCTTTGCGAAGCACCTACTCTCGTCGGGCTCTTCGAGTGTGGTGAGTGTCTTGCGCTTTCTAGTAGACATAACGTGTGGCTCACTGGGCGAACCCAGATGTACTGTCCGCTGGGGATGGCGGATGGTGCTGCCAGAGGTGGGTCGCCTTGTCCCTCACTGTCTCAAGGAGGCTGATGAAGCTCAGTTTTGGAGTTGAGTGGTAGCCCTGCGACCAAACGCGACATTCTGCCACGACTCATCAGGTGAGGTCCTCAATAATCAGTGTAGCCCTACCATATATATGCTCACTCTGCACAAGCCGCGACCCCGAGATAGCGTTCACAGCAGGACAGTGGATGACTGAGGTAAGGTCACTTCGTCTGTCGATGCTTCTGTTCCTGCAGACTGATATCGTTACGTATAGCGCCCGGGGGGTTCAGACGTCTCACAGACAGAAACGGTTGCCAGACCCGTACCTGATGCCACAAGCCCGTACGGTCCCGTGTATAGCATCGACGGCTTCAAGTGGTTCTCGAGCGCGACGGACAGCGACGTCGCGGTTGCGCTCGCTCGCACAGGCTCAGTCGCTTCAGGTTCGCGTGGACTCTCGCTCCTCCTAATTCCGCTGCGACGACCGCTCATCCGGCCGACAAACGAACCGCGGCCGTCTGCGCTGACGAACAACATTCGGATCCACAGGCTGAAGAACAAAGTGGGGACAAAGATCGTACCGACCGCGGAGCTCGAGCTCGCCGGCGCAGAGGGCTACCTCATCGGCGAGCCGGGCGCGGGCGTGAAGCTCATTGCACCTGTGCTGAACATTACGCGCATGCACTCGGCGGTGACGTCGATCGGCTCGCTCCGCCGCTGCATCGCAATTGCGACGGCGTTCTCGCATGTGCGAAGGCTTCCCGGAAAGGAAATGCTCAATGAGAATGTGGTCCATGTTGCGGAGCTTGCGAAGGCAACCGTCGTCTACCGCGCGCTGACACACATGGTCTTTGGCGCGGTGCTGTTGCTGGGCAAGACGGAGTGTGGTGTCGCGACGGAAGAGGAGGCGATGCGGTTGAGGCTGTTGACACCCGCCGTAAAGTCGTTTGCGGCTGACCGGGCGAGTTATGTTATGGAGGAGTGTATGAGTCTTCTTGGCGGGCAAGGATACATGGAAGAGACTGAGTTCGGGACGTGAGTGGATGTGGGCCTACACACTACCCCTGCTGACGTGCTGTGCTCAGGATCATCAAGGATGCTTGGGTTGAGAAAATCTGGGAGGGAACCGCTGCAGTCCTCGCACTGGACATGATCAGAGCGACATCCAAACCAGGTGTCCTAGGCGCATTTGTCTCCGTACGTTTTTATCTGTCCGACTTGGCAGCGCTTGCTAATGCAGTTCACAGTGGGCAAACTCGACCATCTCCTCCTGCCCTACTGAGCTCGCTCGACGGCTATCAGTGCCCCTCGATACTCTTCGTAAGGGGCTGAACGAGATACACTCGACCTACACTACACGCTCCATCACGCTTGCGTTACGCCCGGCACTGATGCTGTTCTCGCACGTCACTTCCGCTCTATACCTCCTGGAGCATACCGTTTGGGCACACGCAAATAGCGAGCCCACCGCTGAGACCGATATCGAGGTCTTCCGCCGGTGGGTCCAAGAGAACGGGCTGGATCAAGCGATGCAGGACGTGCAGCGCGCGAAGGCTGCCAATGCGAGCAGGCCAAAGGCCGACACGCAGATCGTGTACGGAGCTGGTCCAGAGAGGGAATCGCCGAAAGCGCACCTGGCCGAGAAAGTGACTGCACATTTGTGAGACCAGCAGCTTAAAGCTTGGATACCTTGATATTGCATTGTATATGATACTTTGTTCACAAAAGTCTCAAAGAGCATGCCACGGCCGATACCGATGAAAGGATCTGTCTGCACCCTTCAGCGACGTCGTGGTGCTTACAAAACAGCATCAGGCGCATCAGGCGCATCAGGCGCATCATATTAGCACTCGGCGCTTGACGACACCGCGTCTCCTAGAGTCTGCGACGATGTCCCCGACGCTGGTTGTCCGTAACATTCATCTCGCGTATGATGATGCTCAGAGAGCGCGCTCCCTCTTCGACGTAGCAATAAAAGATGGGAAGGTTTTAGTTGTCACGGCTGCCTCTGAGCGCGATGAAATGGCTGCAGCAGATGACCGAGTGAAGATCTTGGACGTTGGGGGAAAGGGATTACTTATCCCTAGGTAGGAAGACCCTGCCTCATTCCCCACTCAATTTTAAAACAGTGTTTATGCAGCCTATGTCATGCACATATACACCTCGACAAGTGCTTTCTCCTGGATCGATGTGAGCTCGTCAAAGGGTCAGTTCTTGGTCACATACACCCACCGCTGACCGTACTCAAATAATCCGGTCAACAGAGACTTCAACGAAGCTCTCGATGTGACGACGCGAGCCAAATCCACATTTGCGTCCGACACAACTGATTTGTACTCTCGAGGGCAGCGCCTGATCCTCGAGAGCGTCGCGGCAGGGGTCACCCGTATGCGTGCGCACGTCGAGATCGACACGACGGTCCACAATGCTTGCATCGACGCTGCTCTGAGACTCAAGCAAGATTACAAAGAGTTTTGTGACGTCAAGATTTCCCGTGAGCTCGTCCGTCATCTACAATAAAGTATGCGCTGAGCGATCGGCGGGAAGTCTTCGCGCAGGACCCATTTTTTCCCTCGCCGACCTCGTCCGAACCGGGAGAGAACTATAGGCTTATCGCGAGAGCGGCCGCCTCTCGTGACATCTCGTCCATCGGATCAGCGCCATATGGCGAACCTACAGCCGAGCACGTCAAGTCCAACGTCCGGCTCGTCCTCGATCTCGCTCACGAATACGGCCTGCACGCTGATTTTCACCTCGACTACAACCTAGACGAATCTTGCGAGCCGGTCATGTGGTCCCTCCTGTCCGAACTGCGCTCACGAATACGCGGCGGTCGGTGGCTGAAGGGCAGGACCGTGTGCGTTGGGCACGCCACGCGCCTGACGCTCCTGACTCCCTCGGACTGGGAGCGACTCGCAAAAGAGATCAGGGAGGACGACCTCCCGGTGACGCTGGTCGGCCTGCCACAGAGCGACGTGTACATGATGGGCCGTGCGCTGTCTCCTGTGCCGCGCGGCACGCTCAACGTCGTCCGGCTCGCGGACGAGTACGGCGTGGAGGCCGCGATGGCCGTCAACAACGTCTCGAACGCGTTCACCCCGCAGGGCTCGCCTGACCCGCTGATGCTCTGCCCTCTCGGTGTCGCGCTGTTCCAGACGGTGACAAAGTCCGCATGTGTGACGTTACTGGTGAGCCTTCTAACACCCTCCGTCCCTCGTTGGAATCTCACTCGTGCAACAGAGGTCAGTAACGACGGTAGCACGAACCGCGACGGGTGGGCCGTCGTCTGTGTCGCTCATCCCACGCGCAGGCGACGCCGCCGACTTTGTGGTACTGCACAACAATCCCAGCGTCCAGGACGCAGTCTGCAATCCGTGCTACGACAGGACCACGATCAAGGACGGCCGGGTCGTTGCGCATAGAAAGGGTAGTACCGTACTGCTCTGCAACGCCTGAATCACGACGCACACTTGTGCCGCCCGAAGTCTGCAGTTATGTCATGACGCGCGCGACAGCTGGTGTCTCGTGTTTCCTTGTTCGTCTGCCATGCATTACATTTGACGGTCTCGAGCTCGAATCTTATGTTCTTTTCTGATCTCTCTTCGACCTGTGTGCTCCGGCTAAATACATAGGCATTGTCCTTGGTTCGCACAAAAATGAGCAGAGAATCGCCGACTGGCTGTATTCGTTCGTAGAATTGGGTCTGGGCCAGGACGCCTCGCGCCAGACATCTTTAAAACACCTCGCTCTCATTTTCGAAAGCGACACGCACGATAACAAAGAGGACATTATACTAATACCTACCCATAAGTTTAGTACACTTCCTCTGACGAATGAAAAGCCCCCCAATCCAAGCATCACCCAACGCGAAAAGAAAAGAAGAAAAGCGAATAACAGCAAAAAGAAAAAGCGCAAGCAGGTATCTAGTGAATACAACAGAGGCGATCGAAAGCGAAGGGTTTCAAACGACAAAGGGCGAGAGAGGGCATGTATGGTCGTAAAAGGGTTGCAAGCGAAAACAAAACAAAACAGCCAGCAAACAGAAAAAAAGCGCAAAGCATGTGTTCGAAAGGTTGCAAAAAAGCGACGAAAGTGCGAAGGTGGGGATATAACGAGTGGGGGGAGACAAGGCCCGGCGGCGAGCCCGCGGTATAGCAATTAAGAAAGAAACGCCTCCACAACAAACGGCTGGTGCACACGGTCTACTCCGGCACGCCCAGCAGCCCGCCCACGACAGCCAAGCTGATTACGAGCGCGGCGGTCGCGCTCCGGACAACGATCTCCCACTGCGCGCGCCCGACGAGCGGGTTCAGCACCGGCGTCAGCGGCGCCGCGAACGCGGGCACGCTGAGGTACACGCGCCGGAGACGCCTGCGCCAGCCGTTCACCTCGCATTCTGGCTCACCCGCGGGTGCGAGAGGGCGGTTCGGCGCAGGGCAAGGTTGGTTACGCCGCGCGGCAGGCTCCTGCGGGGCGGGCTCGACGGCCTTCTCGACGTCTCTCTCCCCACCCTTCTCCTTCTCTTCCTTCTCCTTCTCCTTCGTCTCCCTGTCCCACCCCTTCTCCTCCTTCTTCTTCCCCTTCTCGCGTTCTCTCTCTCCCTTCCGAGTGTCACCGCGCGCTCCCGCTTTCTCCTCCTCCTTCGAAGCCTCCGCGCGCTCCCTGCTCCGCCGCTGCCTCAGCACCTGCACGACGTTGTCGGGGCTGCAGTGCCGCTGCAGGAACTCGAGCGCCTGCCACCACTGGCGCGCGAGCCAGCCGCACCGCTCGGCGTCGATGGCGCTGCCGAGGTCGGACCGCGTGCCCTGCGATGGCGCAGGTGAGCTCGCGCGATCCGTCGCGCCCTTACCCTTCGCGTCCTCTTTCAGGTGCGGCGCGGACGGCTTGAGCGTGACCGAGAACGTCGTGCGCGCGGGCAGGCCGTCAAAGTCGAACCCGTCGCCGCCCACAGGGCCGCCCGCGGCGCGGTGGCGCAAGCCCTTCTCGAGGTCGTCCGGGCCGCAGCCCGCCACCCAGGGCTCGCTGGCGTCGTATGCATAAGGGCGAATGAACATGGCGGTGCCGGGCAGGGGCTCGTGCTGCTGATCGCTGCGCTCCGCACGGCGCCCGTCGTCGGCGTCGCGTTGCATCCACTGAGCCCACGCGCTCGGGCTCTCGCCGTTGCCGTCGTAATCTGGCCAGAGAGGATCACGCCCTGGCGTGGGCGGTGGCTTCTTCTTCCCGTGGGTGGCTGCGCTACCGCGCGACGACGCCAGGTAGGACGATGTATTGGAGGATGTGAACCCCGAAACATGAGGCGGCACAGGGCCGGGACAATCCCGGATCGGGTTCATACGCGCTGCACGCTCAAGGCTACTCGGGAACCAGTCCGCTGGGGCGGTCGCGGGGCCCTCAGGGGAGGGGTGCTCGTCATAGAACGCGTCCGACACCTCGATGGCGGGCCGCCGTCTGCGCCTGCGCCTACGTGTGCGCTGGGTGGGGTCGACACACTCGTCCTCGTCCTCGTCCTCGTCCTCATCGCTCTCGGAATCGCTGCCAGAGCTGCCGCACGACGAGTCTGAAGTGTAGCCCTCGTCGCTGACGCCCTCTTCCTCAATCTCCTCGTTATCGCACGCCCTAGTGACCTCGAGCGCGGCACCATCCAGAGACTTCCGCTTGCCGTGGTCAAAGTGCACGCGCTCAGGCGGAACGATCGTTAATGTCGGAAGGCAAGGACTGCTTTCAAGGGGATCCAGCGCTGCTTCGCTCACACTTGCTGGTCTTACCCTCGGCGGGGGCGGCATGACTGGCGGGTGAGTGAGCGGAGTCGTCGCCTCGCGCAACATCCGCTCGAACCTCTCGCGCTCGGTCTCATCCTGCTCAGCGCGCGCGCGGCTCCCAAAGAAGAGCCCTGTCGGGAGGCTCATCTTTCGCGGGACTGCTTTCTCGGATGGAGCGCCTAGATCCAGTGCAGGAAGGCTTCTCTTCGAGTCAGGCAGCACGGATGTCGTTGGGCTGGGAGTTATGCTGAAGGTCGCAGGCCCGCCAGAGGTGGGGAACGGGTTCGTGAAAGTTACTCCGGTAGGAGACGGCGGTTTGGACGGGTTTCGAGTGCTCTGTTGATCCTTTTCGTTGACATGTTCTTGAGGGATTCGCGGTGGACGCTCAGCGGATCACTCCTGAGCGGCTTTGGGTTCGAGATCGCTGGGCGCGAGAGCTCAAACGAGCGCAGCTGGCGTAGGTCGCCGAAAATGTAGATCATCATACACACCTGTCATTCGCCGGTGAGCCTAAACTTTCGTCGTGGACCACACAAGAAGGACCAGCTGACGCACCCCATAAAGCGCACTAATGAAGATCGTAAGGCCAAGCCACATCCCCGGAAGAGCAAAGATGCGCCACCAGCGCGACGCATGAAGGGAGAAGGAAGCAGCCAGCGGCGGTCCACTATTTTCACGCATATAAGCACCGGGTACTTGAGATACAAACGATGGTAATTACCTGGTTATAATCCCAATGACCATACCGCCTGCATTTCCACAGTAGGCACGCGACATCCCGACGTTGTTGTAAGTCGCGACAACCAGACGCTCAAGGCTGGCCTTCAAGCGTCCCTCTACGATGTCCTTGATCTCGTCAAAGACTTGCGGGTCGGGCGGTGGCGGTAGCTTTCCTCCGAGACTATTGGCGCCCTTGGAGATTCTCTGGAAATCTTTGCTGCTGAGATTTCTCAACGCGTCGTACGGATCTCCTGTGTCGTGCCTGCTGCTTCTGGCTCCGGCCTTTTCGTCCTCGGTTGGAAAGAACGCGCCAAGGACGTTGCTTCCGATGTTGAGGTCGTACGGCGCGCCTGGCGCGAAGAACGTTTCCTTTGCGCGCAAATAAAAGAGTGCCAGGGAGGGGTTCGGTGGAAGTGGAGGTGGCGAAGGGGCATAGGGACGAAACCGTCTATCGGTGCCGCGCCCGTCGAGGTGCTCGTGGCCTTCACCCGCATCTTGTGCGCCTGGCGAGGTTGGGGACGACACGGCTGTGGGGGAAGAGGGCTGGGAATGCCCCAAAGCGGGCTGCAGAGCGGAGGAGGTTGAAAGGAACGATATGGCAAGCCCAAGAGAAGGAAATGGGCGTTCACGGCCTGATGGCATGTGATGACTACTTCCCGGCTGGAGCGGGTTCGGGTGGTGCAGCATGGGAGGCTGAAGCGGGGCAGGGGGCGGAGGGTGGGTGTTGAAAGTGAGGTCCTGGGAGTGCCGCTGCTTACGCTTGGCGCGCTTCGTTTCTGCGGAGGACTTGAGGGACGAAGTCCAGCGTCCATAGCGTGTAGTGTATGCTCGAAGCCAGAGGATAAAGTACCTAGTGAGGATGTACTCGGTCGGACCGGCGGGGAAGTAGGCAGATAGTACTCACAAGTTCTCTGGTGCTCCGTCGACGAACAGCAGCCATTCCTCAAAGTCCTTCAAGCCGAGCGGAGGGAGGTGCTTGCGTGCAAGGACGTCTTCGAGGGAGACTTTGTAGTGGGGCTGTATGCCCCAGGTGGCGAGGTCCCAGGACCACCAGTGTGCCCTGGCCTTTCCCTTGGCTCGCGCGCTTGGGGTCTGGGAAGACGGCGGGATGGGAGAGACGAGGTCGGAGGGAATCTCCGGAGGATGGGTGAGACGGAAGGCGAAGTTGCGAAGGCCTGAGGGAGAGAGCTTGACGGTGGTGGGTTGTGTAGGTGGTGGTGGTGGTGGCGGCGGCGGCCTGACTGGGACGGGGCGGGAGGACGAAGGGACAGGACGTGGATGGGATGGACCAGGTGTTGAAGGAGCGTATGGGCGCGGAGAGGAAGGCGAAGGCGGCATAGACGCCCGGGCGGCACGCGGCGGCGAGGCCATTGTGGGACGTGTCGTGCTCGCTGGCTGCGACGACGGCGAGGGGACCGCGTCCGTCGTGGGCAGAGGAGAGGAATAGTACTTTAAAAAGAAAATGGCAGACGGAGGTGATGGAGGGGGATAAGAGGTGGGGAGATTGACGGACGGAATGCTGGTGAGGAGGAATGGAAGCTGGGCCGTATCAACGACTTCCATGCGATCGACCCACCCTCTCCTGCACAGTGCACCCCAGTGTCACTGCCCGCCCGTGCGCCGCGGCGCGCCCAATTAGGCTTAGCGGCCAATCCGGGTCGCACGCCGTCGCTGTCTCCGCTGCAGTGCGCGCTGACGCGGACGCCCTGCGAGGCTCTGGACGGGGTCTCAGCCATTCACGGCCGCTTTGAGTTCAGAAGAAGAACGGCGGAGAGCGTGCGAACTGTCACCGAAGCTCAATGCATGCCGCCCGTGAGAACATTCTGCCGCCACGCGCCCCACGCGTCGACCGCGTCAGTCGTGCCCGCCGTGGTCGATCCACACCCGAGAAGCCCCGCACCGGCCGGCGATGGAGGCCGCCGCGGCCGGCAGTGGACCCCCGCGCGGTCTGTACTCGTGCGTCGGGATGGCCATGGAGAGACGAGGTCGAGGGGACAATAGGGCCGTCGCTCCGACAACGCCAATTCAAACCCCCAAGCTCAAGCTCAAGACCCTTTCCTCCGTTTTTCCACACATTGTGCTGCATGTCGTCACCCTCTCCGTCCAGTTCCCACTTCGAATGTTCGCAACCCCTCGTAAACTCCCATCCCTCCTCTGATCCTCCTCATTCCCGTGTCCGTCGTCCCTCCGTCTGCTATCGCACTAGAATATCCCCCATGCCTATGTCACACCGGACCCTGGATGGGCATGTCCTCCTCACGGACGCTGGCATTTCCACCCGAACCTCATGCACCCATGCCGGCACCCTCAAGGCGGATGATCGTATTCACGCCCAAGGCTCGCTGCCATCTGCATGTGTCTCCTCGCTCATCCTTCCCTTCTCAACATTTATGTCCGCCAGCTCACAGCTGCCAGGGCAGCTGACGAGTGACGAGAGCACGCCGTGCCGTAGCTCAGGAACGAGTTCCATGCTGCTCATATTTCTGACTGGCAGCCGTTTTTCCGGCGTGTGCCGCCTCACATGCGCCTACGCCTCCCCCACCGCATCGATCCTCGGTCCATCATGCGCAACGGCAGCAACAACCCCCCAGCCTCGTCCGGTCCCATCGCAATGGCCCGCGTTATGTATCGTCCTGGATGCTATTGGGATGCAATACGCGTCGCCGCCGCCACCGCCGCACGTCGCGTCCCTCGAGTCCCTCGTCTCCGCGCTCTGACGTCTCCCGCGGCTACCGCTCGTCCGGCGTGCATGCAGGTGCCCGACCCAGGGCGGGACACCGGCGTATTGCAGCAAGGGACGCGGCTGGGACACTTTTTCTTTCACCGACGTGCCAACCCGCTCTTCGATCAGGCCCAGACGCTGCGTCCACCGTTGCTGCCGTTGCTTTGCACGTAGGTGCCCGACTCTGCCGGCGTATTTTGCAGCTCTGGCCAAGGGGACGCGACGCGGGCTAGGGCCGTCCGGATGTTGTCCTTTCGCCGACGTGTCGATCCTCTTGGAAGCGGCGTACACCGTTCTGCCGTTGCACGTAGATGCCCGACCCCGCCGGCGTATTTTGCAGCTCAGGCCAAGAGGACGCGACGCAGGCTAGGGCCGTCCGGAAGCTCTTCTTTCGCCGACACACGCCAGCCCTCTTGGAAGCGGCGCGCACCGTTCTGCCGTGCAGACTTCGGGACCGCGGACTACGACGACGCCACTGAAGGTGGAGTCGACATCCTGTGGCCCTCCGATGCGTCGCACCGCACGCCCCACACGCATATCCATTTGGGCGCTTATACCAAGACCTTGGCGCCGTTGTCGCCGTCGCCGCCGCCGCCGCCACAGTACAGCGCAAACGTGTCGATCTCGCACTGACGCGGCTCATGTATGCTCAGGTGCTGGCTTGCCGGAATACCGATGTATACAAATAGTGTCCCCGGTGCCAGGGTGCCAAAGTGCCGGCGTGCCAGGGCGTTTTGAGCGGAACTGCGCAGAGGAACGAGTGGAAAAAAGCAGATAAGCTCGAGTATACCGAGCCCCTTCCCTCTTCTGTTTACGACGTGTAATCCCACGTATAATTAACATGTAACGGGGTTAGCTCCATGACCACCGCTACGTTCACCACGGAAATGAGACAAGGCATGCCGCCGTCCAAGCAGACCTTCACAGAGCATACTCGCACCAACAAGCAAATAAAAAGGGCGCACGCAGCGTATCGGGACGACTCCGACGGCGTGCGTCTATTGAAGTTGAAGGGCTTTGTGGCGCATCATCGCCATTCGCTCGTCATGGATGACATGCACACTAAAGTCGCCGTTGCTAGACAACCGATATTCAAAAACGAATTCAGTCCTCGAAACTTAAGCGATGTCTCACCTTCGCCTGATTTGCCCGGGGCCGGCTTACAAGGCTTCCATCCCGGGAGCTATGTGGCCGGGATCCCAAGTTTGGTTGCCGGTAGTAGCCAGATGCAACACACAAATGAAACACGAAAGCCGCTACTGTCTAGTCGAGCAGGCACAGGCGCGCCGCTCGTAAGGAGAGAAAACGTCGGAGCCAAGAAGATCCGTGGAAACGGCGTCTACTCAGAAGGAAACAGCCCAGTAATGATCTGCAATGAATCGCAGGTCACGTCCGAGAGCGCTCAGAGATATCTCTCAGAGACACCACAGCGAGACACAGCCGTCAAGCTAACAATGATGCACAGGGCGCGTAACGTCCAGCTTCTCCCCTCTGGCTTTTCTCTCTCTCTCGGGTACATTCCGCAACGCATCGTATCTGTTCACGAGCACACTGCTGTCCGGTTTCGAAGAGGCATACTGAAGAGAGAAATTCCCTACAGATTTTTCATTTTTATGCATCATGAGCTTGACTATTGTATCTTGACGTTTCGCAGCTCGGCGCATCCTCCGGGCGAGCATCCAGTAACGTGCCGAGTGCAGCAGACGTAGTATCGACGTCGCACTCGGCACGGGCGAGCCTCTCCGCCTGCGTGTAGTCTAACGGCGCTCCGATGTTGCCGATGACGTTCGATGCGTCGACGTCGC